ACCGCGGGCTGCGGGGCAGCCGGGCTCTCCAGGCTTCCTTGTTTTTTTCCACCCTGACTCGGTACCCCAGACTCTACGCAGATGTTAGTTCACAGTTTTTCAGCTATGGTGAGTCCCACCCCCACCCCCACCCCCGTTTCCTTCGGAATTCTAGGCTGGAAACCTGGTGCGGCGGAGCTGCGCGAGACCTCGGGTTTCGCCACCAGGTTTCCAGCGGGGCGCCCCTTTCATCTGCATTTCCCTCTTTGCTCTTTTCCATCCTCAACTCCCCCGTCCCTGTTCCACATCTCCCGGCGCGCAGACCTACCTCGCCGCTACTCCCCGAGGCGTGTTTCTCGCCATGTTCATCTTTATTTCCTTGCGTCTTCACTTGTTCCTGAGATGTGCTCAACGTTTGATGCTAAATCCGTTTGCACCCAAAAAAAACGTAGCCCCATGTGCCCCTTACCCTAGGGGCCCGGGGTGCACCTCCGAGGGTTCGCATTCCCCGGAATCAACTCTGTTCACTTGTTTTGCAAGCGAATTTCAATAGAGGAACAGAAAGTCAGGCGTTTCTTCTGCCTTTTGCGGCTGGGGGGGAAAGGGGTGGGTGCCCCCCGCCCCGGCGTGCCCCTCTCTCATTAAACCCAAGAGGGCTGCGTCTATTTTAAACCTGGACTAGACGTCCCCATCCATATGGTAAATCGACGCCGGGGAGAAAGGGGCTTTTAACTGAGGGAACGGAAAAGGCAGAGTCTCCCCCCCACCCCAACCTGCAGTTAAAACCTTCTTTGAGCCGGTCATTCAAACGTGCTTCGTTATAGCCCCACTACGAAATGTTTCTATTTAAATAGTCACGAAATGCTAATAGTCTTTGAACGGGTATGATTTTTCCCTCCAAATAAATGGAACGAGGTGAACAACGCAGTTCAAATGGTGTGTGTGTGTGTGTGTGTGTGTGTGTGTGTGTGTGTGTGTGTGTGGCGCTTCTGCTGTTTAATATTTAGTAGGAATTTTAATTTTGCTGAAGGGAGGTTTCTCGCCGCAGCTTATGGTGCTCCATTCTGGGAGGCCCTTTTCTATCCGGCCCGACCGTGGAAAGAAATAGCTGAGGAGAATCTCTTACGCCCCGAACTTGCCCGGTCTCATTCCCCGCGTTTTTGGAAGGGCCCGTTTCACCTCTGGGGTATTTTCCAAAAGGAGCACCTGGGAGCTCGCTTCTGCGGCCTGCCGCCGGGCAGGGGCGCTTTCCCACGCGGCCCTGCGGAGTGGGTTCAGCCTGGACAGCCGGAACCCGACGCCTGACTGCTTGTTCTTCGCTTTCCTCTCGCTCTCTTCCAGGACCGTCACGACGGCACCAGCAACGGGACGGCGCGGTTGCCCCAGCTGGGCACTGTAGGTCAATCTCCCTACACGAGCGCCCCGCCGCTGTCCCACACCCCCAATGCCGACTTCCAGCCCCCCTACTTCCCCCCGCCCTACCAGCCTATCTATTCCCAGTCGCAAGATCCTTACTCCCACGTCAACGACCCCTACAGCCTGAACCCCCTGCACGCCCAGCCGCAGCCGCAGCACCCGGGCTGGCCCGGCCAGAGGCAGAGCCAGGAGGCTGGGCTCCTGCACACGCACCGGGGGCTGCCCCACCAGCTGTCTGGCCTGGATCCTCGCAGGGACTACCGACGGCACGAGGACCTCCTGCACGGCCCGCACGGGCTGGGCTCCGGACTCGGAGACCTCCCGATCCACTCCTTACCTCACGCCATCGAGGACGTCCCGGTAAGAGGCCGCGCGGACGGCGCGAGAGGGAGTGCAGCCCGTCCCCCGTCCCAGAGAAGATGCCGGGGACGCACAGCCGGTGGGCCCGGGTTTTCTTCAGTGTGTTCACTTTTTCAAAATCTCATTTTATTTTTTTGGGCGGGCGCTTTCAGGACTCACATAGACAACCGAATTTAAAAAATTAAAAATAAGTTGAGTTCTGCCCCTAGAACAATGGTTCCTGGAAATCCTCCAGACAATGCCAGCATTACCATTTCCACCGACGCAAATAAATCAGATGAATGTCACAATATCCCCCCTCGCCAAGACAGTAAACTGTTTCGATTGGGAGAGGATCTAATTCCACCTCTGAGTCTGGCGCTGGGATTTCCCCCTGTCCTGAAAAAGATGTTAAAATTCAACCGAAAGAGCTCATTAAATGCTCTGGCAACTCAAAAGAAAGTGTAAAAGACATACTGAAAAATTAATTTTACCGGATTTCACAAGCATTAGTGATATCTGAAAGTTATGTGTATCCCCTACCCTGATTAAGGAAGAGTTAAGTAGCAAATCTGAGCAGAGGGACATTAGAATGCAGCCTTCTTCTTTTCCTAGGGGTGCTAAGTGCTGACCTCATAAATCATTAGCTGGGTTCCAAACGCCTATCAGAACCTGCTACACCCCATATTAAATGTTCTGAAACTATTGAGCAACATTACTTGTTTTAATTCAGTTATCAATAAATGTAGTTTAAAATGATCTCTTAATAAGCATGATATTAGCACATTTACTCTTTACAATGTAAACCAGCTATTGATAATTTGAAAATACTTTCTGAAATTAAATTTAAACCAGCATCTCTGCTTCAATTCTACATATTTATGGTTTCCTCACAACCTTCCTGAAATGGAATTAGAACAAGCCAATAATTTTATTAAAGCTGTAAAGGCTCTATTAATGCTGCTTTTCTTTGGAGAGGAAATGTATCTGGATGTGATTTTTGCTGAAATGCTATTTCAAATTACTGCATCAAATATTGCAGCAATATGTCCGTTGACAGTTTAATGATTACTGCATTAGATTGCAAAGAAAATGGTCAGATGAACTTACCTGCTTGCTTGGTGAATTTAAAACTGTAAGTTACATAGGAAAATAGAAAATTTATTACATCTCTCATTTAGCTCAGTTAATCACTGAAATTTGTTGGTTATGTTTAGCAGCCTTGCATGGAAAGCAGAAAAGTAGGAACTTGATCCAATGTGGGGTTTAGTAAGCATTGTGTGTGTGTGTGTGTGTGTGTGTGTGTGTGTGTGTGTGTGTGTTGTATGTGTTGTATGTGTATGTGTGTTCGAACATGTATTTAGAGGCTGATACTAAACTGTGCAGTTCTTGGGAAGGAAAATGAGAGGAGCAATAGTTGAGAAAAGCGCAATTAAAAAACAAACCTGGAAGTTGTGATCATTTTACTTCTTCCCAAAGATTCTCTGAATCCTTTTCCTAGCCTGGTCTTTGGAAATATTTGAATTGCAAAATAATGTTGCAAGTTTTTGAGACGACTGTGGATTAGAATTGCTCTACTTTGCAAAAATTCGAAAGTGGTTGGTGTGAATTCTTAACACCTGTATAGTCCCTCTTTGTGGTGAAATGGTCAGTAGGAGAAATTAACCTAAAGATCAAATGAAAACAAGGAAACCCAGTTGCTGCTCTCCCCCTCCCTTCCCCACCTTTTAAGAAAAAAATTCTTTCAAAGGAATTTGGGTCAGGAAAAGGGTTGTTTTCAATTTTCCCATTGCTGCAACAGTTAACCTTTAATAAGAATGACTGCTAAATATTTAAGAAAATCAAATCGATGGTGAAAATTATTTAATCATTAATATCTCAGTGGGGTTTTAAACTTAACAGTCTTCCCTGTATGGACAAGGTCTAGAAATAACACAAATAAAAGTATTATGCCACACTACATTTACTTTATGAGTTTAGGGTGCATGCATAAAGGGATCATATTTCCCCATATAGTTAAAACACAAGAACTGCAGCAGTACTCATTTCTGAACATTTCTCAATTTAATTATACTTAAATCCAGAAGCACTTTAGGCAAGTTACAAATGAGAGCATTGAGTATAATAAAACCTGTAATAAAGCAACTTAGTACCATCCACCCGGAATCATTGCGATCAGGCACAATTAACAGGAGCATAAATCCAAGACAGAATGGAAAATGTTTGAATCAGTATTATTGTTGGACAAAGACTAGAGAAGGAAGTAATAGTTTTTTAAATGGTAATGCCTGTGTTTGGTAACGATTGCGAAATCTTCTATCTCAGCAGCCCTGGTGCTAATTTGTAAACACAGCCAGACATTATATTGCCTGTCAGTTTCTGCATTAGAAAACATGATTTCATTTTACTTTCTAATCACGTTTCGACTCTGGCACACACATATACCCATCCATCCGCAAAAAAAGAAAACCCCACCCCAACAAATCTGCTGTTGGACAACAGAAACAACCTCAAACGTTTTTGTGTTTGTTTTTAAAAATCATTTATGTTCCTCTCTGATATCCAATTTAGGCAGTAGTCCTTTTTTCAAAAAGATCACACAAATTATTATTTTCTCATAAGTGAAGATGTGTGTCTGCATTTGCTGTTTATCACACTACCTAAAGCGTTTCCAGCACCCCCCTGTCCTGCCTGTCATTTCTATTGTGTTTCCCTGGCTTTTGCTGCTGAGCCCTTGAATCACTAAAAGTCCGAAGCCACTGAGGCGCCAAAGTAATGCTAGGTGCATTTTAAAAGGTTGAGCTGATTGTGGAAAAGATTAGGTGCTCCAGAACTCGATTTTAATTTCCAAAGAAAGTTTTATTCCCAACCCCCACTTCTTTCAAACTCAAATTATTTGCTGGAGGAGGAGAAATTGGTCGTGAGTGTGCAGTGAAACCTCTTGAGTTGCAAAGCCCCAGATTCCAATAAGCCAAGATGAGATGTTTATATATAAATGTCACTCTAAGGGGGGAATTTTGATTCTACACCTTCCCCTCCCCCCATCTTGCACGGAATATTCATTTCCTTTTGTTTTGATTATACACTTACATCCATGTGTATCCTTTTGTTGCAGCATGTAGAAGACCCGGGTATTAACATCCCAGATCAAACTGTAATTAAGAAAGGTAAGCCATTTCCTTTTGCATTCCAAGCATGTCCTTACAGGCATAGTGCTATTTAAAAGAACTTGCAGAGCTGTATTTATTTTTTTCAAATACGATTTTCCTAAAGGCCCAGAATTAGCAAACAGGCATAGAACAGCAATGCTTGAATGATCAGCTTTCAGTAGGTTAGCAATGGCAACAGGCTAGCTTTGTTCTGATTCATGATTTGATTATTTAATTTAGTTTAATGATATCTGGACAAACACATAAAATGTGTAATAGTTTAACCGATTTGGAAGTGGCATTTCAATTTTGAAACGTTTTAATAGTTTGTGCGAGTGGCCAGGAGTGTTAAGCAGTGATATGCTAAAACAGTGCAAATAATTTACTATTGATATAAGGGCAGATGATAAAGAGACATAGCATTCCTTAGCAGAGTGGAAAAAAAACACAAACCTTCCATGATTTTCCACTTAATTTCTCATTAGCTCTTTAAGGGTTTTTAAACTTTGTGAATTAGGTTAACAAAAATTTGGCTTTTGGTTAAAATTAGCATCTTGAAGATGTCAGGATTGTTAGCATAATTGTTCAAAGCAAAAGTTGTTTTAAGTGCCCAGTGATTTGGATGGATCTGTAATTTGTATTGTATTTAGTGAGTAGAAATAAAGTTTACTGGATTAAATGCTATTCACAGCAGCTTTGTTGTTGTTGTTGTTGTTGTTGTTGTTGTTGTTGTTGTTGTTGTTGTTGTTGTTGTTGTTGTTGTTGTTGTTGTTGTTGTTGTTGTTGTTATGGTGGCAATGTTACATTTCAGGATTCTAGGCACCACCAGAGGACGATGCTATATAAAACTGTTCTCATTTCATTTCTAACCCCAATCAGTTTGTTAGCGAGTTTAGAGTTTCATTTTTGCATCTGTGAAGTCTTTGTCACATCAAATTAGATGTGCAAGGGATAAATCTTAAGAGATGCTCTTTCCAAGTCGACATGATAATTGGCTCTTTTATTAGTAATCTCTCAAGAGTTCGTTTAACTCCTATTGTCTCTATTAGCCTCCCCAGAGCTATTAATGTCACAAGTGATCTATCCAAAACTAGAGCCCCCCCACCTCCCCATACATCTAGAATATCCCATTAAAGAGGGAGGAGTAAGACAATGAGAATGTTTACACATTATTATATATGTCTCCATGTGGGATTTTAAAAATACAAACGCATACGGTACTTAAATGGTTACGAATGCATCTGAATTATATTGGTGTCGAGAAATGTAACGTTAGTACACTTTCTGCTGGTCTTGAAATTTTTTTTCTAACTATGATGGGTCCGACAATGAAGAGCTAATGAATTTAGCTAGTGAGGTATCCTCCCTGCCTTCCCAATGAGGACGCGTGAGCAGAGGACCATTAACTATTTGCTCAACCGAAGTATTCCGTGGTGGGCCCCGGTATCCTTCCTTCTAGTACAAAACGGGGCTTGGGATGGCTCTTCAAAACTCGAGTCGTTCTCAAAACTAAACATAGGAACGGGCCTATTTCTCCAAAGGATGGGGCACGTGTTGTGTGTGTCAACAGACCACTTCCCAGCTTGGTGCTGCCTTAAAACTCAAAATGCTCATTTACAGGCTGATTTGCCATCTAAACGCTGGGCTGATTTTAATGACAGGTTTATGAAGTCATTTCCCCCCAACACTCAACCCCTCATTCCACCAAACTCCAAAGGATGCGTAGTTGGCTTGATCTTGGTTTGCAAACGTCATCCCCGCCCCTGCACCCCAAGCCCGTGCGGGAGCACCTTGTCTAGGGCCCCCCGTCCTCGGACGCTGGCGCTCAGCGGCTCACAGTGGCACCACCATCTCCAGACAGCACCCTGACTAACAGGACAGGGTCTGGGCAGAAGCACAGGCCTGGCCGGCGGGCTGTGGGGGCACCTCCAGGCCGCGGGGGAGGCGCGCCGAGGAGAAGTCTTGATCCCAGGACGGAGGAGGGCAGGAGGTGGGAAAGAGCCATGCAGTTTTCAGGGCTGGAAGAAAAGGGGGGCTGCCGCGCAAGCCGGGGCGCCTGCCCTGGCCGGGAGGAGAGGCGTGCCCGGCAGCTCTTGGGCGGGATCCTCGGCTCCACACACGGCCTCCGGTCTGTCTCCGCAGGCCCCGTGTCCCTGTCCAAGTCCAACAGCAACGCCGTCTCCGCCATCCCCATTAACAAGGACAACCTCTTCGGTGGCGTCGTGAACCCCAACGAAGTCTTCTGTTCAGTTCCGGGTCGCCTCTCGCTCCTCAGCTCCACCTCGAAGTACAAGGTCACGGTGGCGGAAGTACAGCGGCGCCTCTCACCGCCCGAGTGTCTCAACGCTTCGCTGCTGGGCGGAGTGCTGCGGAGGTGAGGCCTGCGCGGCCCGACC